CTCCCCTCCTCCGCTGCCCAGCTGCCGGCTGTTCTGGCTGCCTGACCTGGTTCTGGGTCTGGGAGAGCAAAGCTGACCTCACAGGATGGCCTGGCCAGCAGGGAGCTGTGGTCTGCTTCGTCCTCAGGCTGGCTGGGCACAGGCACAGAGAGGGGCAGTTCTGGCCTGTTGGGAAGGCAGCCTGCGGGGCTGCGGCCCAGCTTCCTGGAACAGGCGTCCTGTGGGGCTTATTTAACAGTGACTCTGCGCCTTCTGAGGTTTTCCACCAGCAAACATGGCCATCGGGCCTTTAAACCATCAGGATACCTGTAGTTGCTTTGATAAATCAGGACAGATGCCCCAAAATGAGGAAACTAAACTCCACCCAGGCCCACTCACCCCTCAGCTGGTTGAGCCTGGACCATGTCCTCTTCTGGCCACTCAGGCACAGACAGGCCTGCTGGCCCAGGTCACCTACTCATGGCCCAAAGGCAGCTCCTATCAAGCCTGGGGCTACCAGGAACTCCCAGGTACCTGACTGTCCACACAGGGGGACAGTGAAGCCAGGGACAGGGCAGCAGCATGGGAAGCAGCTGCCTGGGTGCCTCAGGGCTGCTTGAGGCTGTCTCACGAGTGACCAGTTAACTCCAGATCTGGCCAGGCCAGTGCAGCACTCTCCCCTGAGCCTTTGGTCCCAGTGGTCTGCTGGTGTGTGGGGGGGTGTGCTGCATCAGTCCTGGCAGAGGCAGGGGCTGGGGTCCACTCTCACAGAGGTGTGACCGTGGCTCTCCCTTGGCTGCTCACGTCTCAGTGTCCTTGTTATGGGCCAGTCCGGGTGAGGCCGAGTAGCTGCAGGTGGACATACCTGGTATGGTTTATGATGCTTGCTGTTTTCAGCCACTTGCTTCAGATCCCTTCCACCACCTCCATGAACTGTCGCCCAGCAACACTGCCCAGCCCAGTTGTGCCGGGATGTGAGCACTGGCCTAGAGTAGGAGGGCAGGTGTGGATGGTCAGGCCTCGGTCCTTGTTTTTAGGCCCTCCTCCACCGTGTGGCTCAGTGTGGGGGTTCTTAGTGATCAGACCTATTGCCCGGCATGCTCCTGGCCCTCGCCCTGTGCAACTGGCTTTGTGGGTGGCCCCTCTCGGGCCCTGCTTTCACCATCTGCACATGGGGATAGACTAAGCCTCCATGGCTTCCCCCGGATGTAGGACAGAGTCCCCCAGGAAGCTGGACCCTGCTTTCCTCCACAGTGCGCTCCACTTGGTCTCCTGGGCTCAGGTCAGGTCAGCTGGGGACTCCAGGTGGACCTGCCTCCTGTGCAGCACAGGACAGCCTCTGCTTCCACATGAGCGCCTGTGATGCACTCTGCAGATATCCAGCCTGCCCTCGGGGCCTCTTCCCACCTGACCCCTGCAGCAGCCACTGTGGGTGGAATGGAGTCCTTAAGTTCCCTGGCTATCAGGGGCGTGGCTAAGGTGTGCTCCTTCCCCGTGTCACCTCAGTGCGCGTGTGCACCTGAGGGGAGACAGGACTGCCACTTGGGGCACATGGTTCTGAAGCTTCTCTTGTTGCCCGTGAGGCCGAGGGCAGGGGCTAGAGTGACCCTGTGTCTGTGTTTGCAGGTGAGGGAGGACTGGAAGTACGTGGCCATGGTCATCGATCGCATCTTCCTTTGGATGTTCATCATCGTCTGCCTGCTGGGCACCGTGGGCCTCTTCTTGCCACCCTGGCTGGCCGGCATGATCTAGGGACAGAGCCAGCAAGGCCCAGGCTCCTGCAGGACGTGTAGGGCTGGGCCTGCTCCTCCCTGGTCCTCCCACTCTATGGGGCTATGCTGCTGGTCACTTGTCCCCCAACTCCTGTCCCTTCTGTCAGATGGCTTGGAGACATGGCCCCTGGGGAGTCAGAAGCCTGGGTGCTGGTTTTGGTCAGGTGGTCCTGGGGCAGGGGCTGGAATGTGGTTGTTCCATCCACAGGGTGGTGTCACGGGCAGAGCTCTGTGAATGCATCCCCAGCACAGGTGACCTGGAAGCCTCCTGATCTGCAGATGGCCAGGTGTGTCTGCGTCTCAGCAGTGGCAGCCATCCCACCTGTCCCACAGAGCCATGAGGGTTTGTCCCCTTTCAGCCCCAAGTGGCCCCAGGCCTGTGAGACCTGGCATTCAGGCATCCCCCCCCTGCACCTTCCCTGGCCACTCCCTGTCCCCCAGGACCCAGGCCTGCTCACCTGCCAGTCCAGGCAGAGCAGACGCTCTGGTCTCGTGCCCATAGAGGCCCAGCTGGCTGCACTGTGCTGGTCTGTGAGTTAGGGAGAACCCAGCACCATGCTGAGAGGTCTCGCAGAGGCACCGCGTGCACAGTTCCACTGGAGGGGTATCAGGTGCGGCCCCCACAGTGAGGCCCCTGGCCAGGAATCCAGCCATCCCCCTGCCAGGTCATAGGGTCTAGTGAGTGTCCCAAGGACCCAGCAAGGCCCAACCCTAGAAGGCACTTGTGTTGGGGGATTTTCCAGAACCATGAGGAGACCTCGCAGCGTCCAGGCCCCTGGTCCCGGCCCCGGGTTCTTCCCCAGCACCCTGAGGTTTCTGCCTCTGCACAGCCCAGGAGGCCCTCTGAGACCTACAGACTCCAGGAGGGGCTTCCTGTCATAGTTGCTGTGGCGAGGCTACCCCAAGCACAGCTCACCCTGAAACTGGACCCTTGGCTGGTGGGTCCAGGAGAAAGGCCCTGAGCCATGCAGTGGGGATGGCCTCCCTGGGCTCCCTGAGAGGCTGGGGCCTTCTAGCTGGTTCTCTGAGGTCATAGGCCAAGTAGGACCTAACCAGCTGTCCACCTTGCCCCAGAGGTGGTGGGGGAGCTGAGGCTTGCTCCCCCCAGGTAGCACCAGGTGGCCCGGGGTTCACCTCTTGGTGAGGGGAAGAGGCACTCATGGCGACCACATGTATCCCCTGCAGCTGAGCCATCCTGGTCCCCACTCCAGGCATGGCCTTGCCAGTGGGCAGCCCTGTGCCCACTAGCGCCCTCAGCCATCTTGTCTCTGGGTCTCAGAGCTGTGTCCCTGGAGTGTCCTGGGGGAGGTGCCTGAGGACTGAGGGAGCATCTGGGGGCCCCTAGGGCCACACAGCAGGTCTAGCAGACACAGCTGCTGCCACAGTGGCGTTTTCTGGTCCTAGCTGAAAGCTGGGAGAGTGACATCAGGATGAGGGACGTGGCATCACCCACCCCCACCCACAGGCAAACCTGCAGGGCTGAGCACAGGGCTGTCAGTCACCCCTGCCAGTGCCTGTGGAGGGGACCTCAGTGGAAGAGCCCAGGTTGTGGGCCCAGGAGTGGATGCAGAGGCCTGAGTGCCATCTTAGGCATCCCAGGCCACCCGTGTCCCAGGCATGAGGACCCCACCTGGCAACCTGGGTCTGCACTGGTTCCGTGGGCTGTCTTATTCTCTTATGCCTTCACATCCTCAGCTGGAGCCCAGGATGTTGGGAGAGACCCAGGTCGCCGAGCTCGCACAGGGACTGGGGGCCCGGCCTTGGAGGAGGGTGGCGGGTGCAGAGCCCAGGGCCTCAGGACATGGTTACATAAGCGGATCCAGCTGCCAGATGTGAGGGCAGCTGCAGAGCCCCTGGGCAGGGCAGCTGTGGATGCTCTTTTCTGGGACAGGAGAGGGGAGCGTCTGGGACACTCCTGCCAGGACAACCCTTCTGCCACCAGAGAATCCGGGAGAGAAAAGAGCAGTCCTGTCCCCACAGAGCCGACCGTGACACTGCGTGCATTTGTCTGCAGTGTTGACTTGTGACTGAGGTGAAGTCTGCCCGTGGCAAGTGCATGGTCCCAGGCCTTCAAGTCACTCAGCTTTAAGGAATGGGACGGCGCCACCCCAGACCCTCGATGGGCATCACCACCAGGTCCTGCCCTCCCTGGGCAGCGGGCTCCTGCCTGCCCGCCAGAGTCTGTGCTCCCAGATGCTGTGGCAGGGGTCACGCCCTGACTGGCTTCTCTGCCCGGCGTGGGATGAAGGGGTCGTGGGGTGTCCTTGCCCACTGCTGTGGTGTGTGTGGGTTCTTAGTCACGGAGCCTCTTCTGTCTGAATAAATGGAGCCTTTTCTGGCCTTTGTCTTCAGCTGCGGCTGCAGTGAGTGTGAGCTTGTCCAGGTGGTGTATTCACACGTCTGTGTCCATCCTCTTACCCTCTGGTGCCCTTGCATCCTGGGGGCCTTCCAGACCCAGGCTGCCCCCTGGGGCCGGCTGACTCCAGGGTACGCAGATGGCGCTGCGGGGCCTGCCCTGCCTCCTCACCAGACACCACACCAGGCCCAGGCTCCCTGCCCTGCTTCGCCCAGAGCCCAAGTCCTGCCCGAAGCAGTCGGACTGGTCCACCACACACTGTTCGTCTGCCCAGCCTGGTCTTCTTCGGAGACCCCAGAGCAGCCTCAGCCTTCCCTCGGCCTTCCCTCGGCCTTCCAGCCTCCTAACAGGCCTGGTGCTCCTCGTGTCCCTGCCAGACACGGGGACCCCTCCTCTCAGGGAAAGCAGCAGCTGATGTCCTTGAGTGACGCTGGCCTCCACGCTGGGCAGAGCAGTGGCCCACCGAGCCACAGCTCCTGTGTCTGGCCAGAGTGTGTCATTAGCATGGAGACACACAGCGACGGAGGGCACTCCCTGGCTTTGGTGCCGCCTCTGTTTTAATCTGTAGAGAACTGCTGGTTGCAGCCAGTGACATCACTGTGGCGACATCTCGACCCACAGTGGGACACACACTGCCATGGGTGTGCGCCTGGCAGCTGCGGTTTGACCTGGGTTTGTGCTTGTTTTGGAGATATGCAGAGCGCTCTCCACAGACGTGCCATTTACACTCCACCGTCCCCAGTGGAAGCTTCAGAACCCTAATCCTGGCTGGCATTTCTTGGCATTTGCCTGCCATTCAGACAGAGCGTGGCCGTGGTTGCACGGCTGAAGGGCCTGCATGCGTGACAGACAGCACCAGGGATCCTGCCCACCAGCCCTCCCCAGGCCAGCCTGCCTCGGCCAGCTTACCTGGAGTCCCTCGCAGTGTGCTCTTGAGCCCGGCCTCCCTTCCTCGACCTCCTGGGCTTCTGCGGTCTGCAGGTGCTCCTGTGGGCGGCTCCGCGTTATCTGCCCACCCTGCCAAAGCACATGGGGGTGGTTCCTTTGGGCGCCTGCACAGTGCGACTGTGAACAGGTTGGGGTGTGCACAGGGCAGATGGCTCAGCTGCAGAGGTGCATGTGGTCAGGGCAGCACTGGCTACCAGACCCACTTCCAGGGTTTGTGCGAGAGCCTCGTTTGACCAGGATGCCAGGGGTCCCGTCTACACCAAGGCATCTTGACTTGGCCGGTGTGTTAGATGCTGCTCTCCTCTCTGTGGCCCAAACCACACTTCTCCAGCTGCTCATGAGGTTGGGCATCTCCCGTGAGGGTGTCAGGTGCTCATTCCCATCATCTGCAGTTTCCCACTTCTCCCTTAACTCCAGGTTGAAGGCCTTGAGTCGAGGGCAGCAGTTTGAGCTGACCCTTCTGCACTTGTCTCCCTACTTTCACTCCCTGCATGTGCGTGCTCTGATGGTCAACAGGTCTTGTGTTGTGTGGGGGAATGTTCTAGAAGTGCTGACCAGGTCAGCCAGGTGACAGTGTGCTCAGGTCCTCTCCGTCCTTGTGGATTTTATGTCTGCTTTCTCTATGGATTCTGGAGGGGAGGGTTGACGTCCCCAAGGTGACTGTGGAGCTGTGTCCCGGGGTAGCCTTGAAACTCTACTTCTCTTTCCAGTGTGTCTGCTTCACACTTGGAAGCCCAGCAGTGTCCAGATAGGGCTCTCATGTCCATCTAGGGCCATTGTGTCCCCGTCATATCATCATGTCACTGTAGGGCTGTCGTGTCCACTAAGGCCTGATCGTCCCTTGGTGGCTTGCCCCTCGATGCCTCCCTTGCTGCCACAACGTGCCATGTCTCGAGGCCTGGTGTATCTGACAAGAGTGGCCCTTCCCACTCCCCTCTGGTCTGATGGCAGGATCTGTCTTCCCTGCTGTCCCTTCTTCCCCAGCTCTGCGGGGTGTGCAGGGAGATCTGGGGACATAACTGCCGGCCTGCCAGGGTGTCCTTCCCCTGCGAGCTCCTCCTGCCTCTTCGCAGCCAGACCAGGTGTGTGCCCTGATCTCTGTCACATACTCTGTGCCTTAGAACTACCCCCAACTAGCATGCTGCTCTGTGTGGCTCCTGCGGCTGAGCCTTGGTTCATCCCCAGGTGCATTTGATCCACTCACCCTGGTGACACTGGATCACGTCCAGCGTCTGTCGAGGACAGCCCTTGTGGACGCTCATGCAAGAGTTTCTGGGTGGATGTCTGCGTTTGTCCTTTGGGTAAATGCCTCGTGTTGCTGGGTCTCTTGGGACAGCCTGCTTTTATCTTTATGAAATCCCACCAAAGCCGCAAGCGGTGATGCACTGCTGTGGGCATCGTGACCTGGGAGCTGAGGCAGGAGGATCTCAGAATCCAGGCCGGCCTCAGCAACTCAGAAAGACCCTATCTCAAAACAAAAAGCAAAAGGGATTGGGGTGCGGCTCAGTGGTAGAGCGCCTGGGTTCAGTCCCCAGTGCTAACACAACAAGAATAAGTCGAACTTTCTTTTATTCTCCGTGGGCTGCTAACTTAACACATGCTTGTTTTTCAGGAACTCACTAAGTTGGCCTGCAGCATAACTGCCCCCACCCTCCTCCAGACGTGGCCCTGGTGCGCCAGGCAGCAGGACAGCCGAGCTCCTCTACCTGCGTGGTCCAGGGTGGCAGCTCGGTCACTCCACCACCTGGAACTTGGCGTGGCTTTGTTCTACCAGGGGATTCTGCCGCATATTTGATGGCTTTCTCTTTTGACAGAATCCTTCCTCCAGAGGGCTTGCAAAGGGGACTTGGGGCGTCACAGCTGGCAGCTCCGGGGCCTCGGGGTGTCTCCTGCCCGTTCTCTGGGGTGTGATCTGGGTACAACTCTGTGTGCTCGGCACGTGAGGTTGTTGCCCTTTCTGCTCCCTGCCCTGCTTCTGCCCTGCTGGGGCTCCCCGTGTGGTCCTCTGGGCTCTGCGCAAGAGAAATGAAGGGCGCGTTGGAAGTCCAGCCCCTGTGGCTCTCGGGGCCTGTGTTGGTCAGCTTTTCCTCGATGTGACCATAAGGCCCAACAAAACCACCTAGAGGAGGGAAAGCTCATTTAGGGGTTCAGCTGATGGTTTCAGAGGCCTCAGTCCACAGATGGCCCAGTCCAGGGCTCTGGGCCCAGGGTGCACGCCAAGGGGGAGGGGCCCAGCAGAGGGGAGCTGCCCCTTCCATGGCAGCCAGGAAGCAGAGAGAGGGGGGAAGGGGCCGCAGGGAAGATGCACCTTCCAGGGCAGCCCCATGACCACCTCCCACCACGCCCACCTGCAGTCACCACCCATCAGTCCACTCCAGCCAGGTGGGCTGCTGAGGTCACACACATGGACACACACACACAGGTGCACACGTGAACACACACACAGGGGCACACAGTGTGTGCTTGCAGAGTCTGTGCCCCGTGGTTCTCGCTGCTTCAAGGTGGTCTCCAGGCTGGGCTCTCTGGTGTGCCAGCCCTGCTCTGGCACCTCCGAGGCTGCTTGTGAGGGCCAGGACATCTTAAGCGGCCACTTGCTGTGGGGAGTCCAGAGTTTTTCTAGAGACTTGTGTATTTAACATCCGTGCAATCGAGGCCGGCAGGTTTGCTGGCAGACTGCTGCGGGCCCCTGGTTGTCTACATTCCCCTTCTGCTCCTAAGACCAGGGCCCCTCTTCTGGGCCTTCCTCCTGGGGCCAGCACTGCTGGTGGACCCAGTGTCCCATTCCTCTCCTACCTCAGGGAAGAGCCCCTGGATCTCTCCCAGGAGGCCCTCTGTCCTGCAAGCAGGAAAGACCCTATCCCAGTTCCCTTGAGTCTAGCATGCGGTCCTCCTGGGGTCTGTCCTTCCAGGACCAAGGCCAGCCCCTCTCCACCCCTTCCTCCCTCTTGCCATCTGAATGTGACCAGGCAGCTGGAACTAGGGCAGGTGTCCCCAGTCAAGGGGGAGCGGGCAGAGGGAGCAGAACGGCAGGACGGGAGCGGCACAGCTGCCCTAAGCACCTCCCTGTGCCTCCGTCTTGCTGAAGCCACTGTGGTTCTGTGCTTACTGTATGTAAAGCCACGTCTAGTCCCAAACAATGCACTTGACTATTTTGTTGGTGATAACCTGTCTTCTGGGCAGGGAGAGTGGCAGTCTTATCTCCCAGGTGGAACTCATGCTATCTCTATTATTTTTCTGAATATAGATCAGGCAGCTTGGCAGGCATGACCCCTGCCCCTTTCCCCAAGGGGGATGTAACTTCTGGAGCAGCAGCAACCATTGTGTGATAAAGAAGAGCAGCTGAATGCCGAGGATGGCCAAATGCCTGGGTTCCTGAAATTTCCATTCTAGCTCTTAGGACAGGGCCAAGCCACTTAGATTTCATTAAAGGCAGCTAAACACAGTCCTAACAAATGCATGCTTCTTGAGGGTTTGTTTTCTACAATTAATAATGTTTGTATTGCTGGGCACAGTGGCACACATCTGTAATCCCAGTGGCTCAGGAGACTGAGGCAGGAGGATCATGAGTTTAAAGCCAGCCTCAGCAATTTATCGAGGTGCTAAGCAGCTCAGTGAGGTCCTGTCTCAAAATAAACAAATAAAAAGGGCTGGGATGTGGCTCAGTGGTTAAGTGCCCCTGGGTTCAATCCCCAGTACCAAAAAAAAAAAAAGCAGACCGGGCAGCTGTGGCTTGTGTGTCAGGGGTGCAGAGAGGGGCTAGCTGCTCGGGCTCACTGCTCACAAACAGCTGTGCGGTCCAGCTGAAGGGGCAGGCCTCAGGGACTGACCCCAAGCTGCCTTTGCTATTGTAGTTGATTTCCTGGTTGTGGGGTGGCTGTGGCTCACGTTTGAGACTGGGGCAGCAGGAACAGCAGTAAGAAGCAGGCAGAGGCTTGAGATCACTGAGCTGACCCGGCCCTGAGGGGCTCTTCAGGGGCCCTGGGTGCCCTTGACCCTGGGCTTGATTCCTTACGACAAAGGTCTGTCCTTGCTCTGCCTTTCAAGAGCCTCTTGGTCCTCTGGGTCTGTTTAATTCTGGTACTGAAGAAAAAGAGTGGCCTGGCCCAGCTGTGTCTCTGGCCCCCAAGCAGAAGCCCTGGACGTGTCAGCTCAGACAGTAGCCAGACAGCCTGGTGACCTTCCTGAGGGACAGGGACCCCACCCTTGCTGTCGGGGACTATCTCTGCTCCCTGGCCCTGCAGCTATGACTCCCCCAGGATGCCGCCTTTGCTGCTCCTCTACTCTGTGCTCTCACTGTCCTCGGGACCAGATCCGTCCTTGTGCCGCCTCAGCATCCTTGCCCTGTGACTGGTCTGTCCACAGATCTGAGAAATCTCCGTGTGGTGGGAGCTGGCACTTCCGGCTGGTAGCCACATGTCTCCCGTGGGGTGCAGGGTGCTCTCCTCCGTCTCACTGGGCCCTCTGTCATTCCCAGTGTGTCCCCAGGTTTGGCCAGTTACTGGAACAGCGGAGAGTCCTCCCTGTGATCCTGGACTGAGTGTTGGCCCCGGAGCTTGTCCTGCCTTCAGCTCTTTGGGGCCGCGTTGGTGGCTGCGTGCAGATCCATGCCTGGAGTCTTGGCAGATGATTCCTTTTATCAGGTCTCTATTTGCTCCTTTTTAAAATTTTTTATTCTGATTTCCCCCCAGTGAGGTGGATTCCCCCTGTGGTTTTGGTACCTTTCTCGTTTACCTACACAAATGGGAAGAGTAGATTTAACTATTGAATATTGGTTTGGAAAAGAGGGAGTCTCCTCTCTGGGCCACAGGATGGAGCACAGGGTGCTGTGAGTTCATCCCACACTTTCTCAGACCCCTGCCTGGGCACAGGTAGTGAAGCCAGGGCAGAATGCAATGCAGGGCCAGGCTCCCCTGCTGAAGGGTGGCCTTACTCAGAGATCCTGAGGCCAGGAACACAGTGCAGGGGCTGGTGAGTGAGGGTGGCCACTCACATAAGGGTCTGGACTCCTTGGGCTGAGGACAGAAGGGGGACCAGGCAGACAGGGCCTTGGCATCATATCTGGATGCAACGGGGGCTGGGGTGGGGTGCTGTGAGGAGGGTGCTGCAGTGGGGCGACCACCTGGGGAGCAGCCCAGCAGAAGGCACAGCCCAGGGAAGACCATGGGTGGGCACAGCAGGAAACCTGCACGTCTGGAGCTGCAGGCAGAGGGTTTGGATTTCACTCCCAGCGGGACTGGAGTTCTAGGCGACCGTCTGGCCACTGTGTTGGTGAGCATCTGCTGTCTTGGGTGAGGGGTGGCCACAGGATGAGCTTAGAGGAGGCCTGAGAAGCGGGGTGGGAATCCTGGCCGGGTTTTGTGTGAGCCAGAAAGTGGGGTGGGAAGACCCGGCCTCAGCAATGAGCAGGCACCTCGAGCTGATGGATAAGCAATCAGCCTTTATCTGAACTTGGAAATGCTACAGAGAGAGGCCCTGGATGTGCCGCAGCCTCTGGCTCCCTCTGCTTCTGCCCCAGGTTCTTCTTGAGGTTCTCCTGGGCTTCTTCAGGACAGGTTCTGCTTAATGTCGCCATCGGGGTGGGAGGTGTAGGGTTACTTGGGGCAGCACCAGGAATGTCCTGGCAGGAGACAGGAGCAGACCCGTTGGGAGGGGCCCTGGAGAGCCGAGCCCCAGCTTAGGACTCAGCAGCCCAGTCTGCCTGGCTCTGGTCTCCCCGAGAATCCCAGCGTCCTGGCTCTCCACACACCAGGTGCTGCTGGGCCTTGGGCAGAGCAGAGCTCCGAGTCACTCTCTGGTTGGTCTGTTGAGAGGGAACAAGGCCTTGGGGCCCACAGGCGCTTCCCTCCCCTGCCCAGCATCTGCACTACTCAAAGTCCTGCTCCTCAGCTGCCTTGTGCCTGCATCCTGAGGGAAGGCAGAGGTCATCTGTGCCACAACCTACACCCCCATCCCACCGCTCTCACCCACCTCCCCAGCACTCCTCCCCCTGTCCAGGAGCCCTCCCATGGGCCTCCATGGAGCTGCTCCACACAGGAGCCAGGTGTCCC